ATTACACACTGATTTTAAGACCTCGCGTTTTACTTAGATAAATCAGTTTGTGAATAAACATGGTTTCTAGAAATTCAACCATACGTTGATTTGATTTCTCAAACGCAGACCTTTGCAAAATCAATATTTGGATAAAATTTCATGCACATTATCACCAAGACTTGTCGAATTTAAGATTCTAATGATTTATAGATGGTACAATCTCTAGCCAAATATCTGGGCTACACTAGAGATTCTTACTAAATTAACGTGAACTTGAATGGTTTGAGTAAAATGTTTATCAGACGTATTGCTTCTTAAACGAATGACGCTAAACGCTGAGAAACTATTTACATGGTAAAATCATTAAAGCTGTTTGTTTGGACCCTAAAAATTTGCATTCTTTCACTTGGTTGAAATATGTCTTCACGAAACTAAATTTTACTAAAATCAGCCATTCAAAGTATGGATTAAAATTACATTCAGGCAAGGAAAAAGTTATTTTTGGTCTGTGTAGGCTTTGGTAAGATTAAAGGATTAGACAACAAAGTGTATACGATGTCAAAGAACGCACGGATTTTGACTGAACCAGCAGTATAACGAATTTGAACGCTAATAATGGTAATATTACGTTTTCGTAACACTCGCAGCTAGTCAATTTTGGATGATAATAAATCCTCGATTAACCGGGCGTGAGATCTAAGACAGGCACACCCTTCGATTACCTTTTCGTTTAACTCTCTCTCTATGTTGGCACGTTGACGGGGCACGTCAAGACAACAATCCTGTTGTGGAAACAAACTGCAAATTATTCAGTCTTGGTCACGTTAACAGCCACGATTGCAGTCAGGTCACACAGCTGGCCACTATGGCGCAAATTGCAACATAATATGCCAGTGCAGTTAATTCCTGTACTTTCCGGAGTTGAGACAAATTGTTTATACAGTTTCGCACGCATGCACGTAAGCGAAAAAATGATGGTGATGATGCGAATTCCAGGTGCTGCCTGATGCCTGATTGCTATCGGCTTATTTTTTGCATGTAACGTTTGGACCCTCTTACATCTATAATTTTATGGCCTGTATATGAATTTTCTGTCGTGATCCATAAGTGTCGATTAAGCAAATTAGTTGGTCCTCTAATCGGTTTCCATAAAATTGGTAACTTAGAATTAAATATACCCTAAATTTCGTTCACGAATTACGAACAAATGGAGCAAAATTTTATTACCATTGGACAATTGGACATCTGTATTACAAGTGTCTATATTTTATACAATTGTGTAAAGTTGTGCAATAAAATTTTGTTTCATTTAGTCGTAATCTCTAATCGGTAATACTACCTGGGGTTCAGTTATAACTGGGTTAGACTGTATTGGTTAAAGTTGGTTCTGGCCAGTTGTTTGTCCGAATGAAGGAGAAAATTTAATTTGTGGATGAAACGAAATCAATAAATCAGTAGAAACCAGCACTTAAATTTGTATATTAATTAAATACCAGGCACGATGTCTTCATTCATATATCTACAAACAACCAAAGCCATTTTTAAATACAAGCATTCTCAGATCGTTTACTCGTCACAAATTAAAGGATGCGATGTAAAACTAAGAAACCAAAATATTTTTACACATACAACGAAATGTTGCAGGGAATTGTGTCCTTTAGGTGGCAAAACCTACCACCAAAATTCACAGGTGTTCCTACCAATCAAGCGATTTAGTAAGCTGTTAACTAATAAATCTAAAGTATGGAGAATTCAAAGATTCATCTTTACATTTTTTCCTTGAAAGTCTTCATTTAGTAGCTAAAATACCTTAGACCAAGTAGTGGTGTTATCTACGTTAATCGGTGAAATAAATTTGAGTCAAATAATTTTATACTGAATAAGTAGTGAAACTGCTGAGCAGTTTTGAAAAAGTCAAATAAGATAAATTAGCACGGCACATTGAATAATCTGCATTTACGCCTGTTGTTTTGATAAACATATTATGTACGTAATTAACCATGGACTTGTCTTTGAAAATGGTGTATATTAATTTGTCTACATAATCTAAGCAATGTAAAAGGAATTTTAAGAGCAAAAATTTGCAATCCACGGAAAAGACAGACTTGCCTCTCCCGTGCGAGCCACATGGCAAGCCAGACGTTTGTTGATTGGAAATCGAGCGTCTTCCACACTATAATAGCACCAAAAGGCAATAACCGCACACAGCGCAATGCAATATAACGAAATCCGCACAACGCCCATACCGCCCACAACCACCGCGCCAAACTACTTTACTTTGCTTGCAACATGACAATGTTCACTTGTTCAACACTGCAAACAGCACGACATGGGCAGACACAAGCACCTGTTTCAGCCCTTTTCGGCTTCAGAAACAAAATGGGGCGGGCACCGAGGACAACTGTCCCAGGATAGCCTGCGAGCACCCCAAGGTGACGAACAGCGGTTCCACAACAGGTGAACCACAGGTCAGGGGTGGTTAAGAGCACAAAATGTCCTATGGGCTTAACCACCATCAGTGGAGCGGCGCAATCCGAGGTTCACTGGCTAAGAGCCGACTATAATAAACCACATCGACTAAATTTTTCCAAGGAGTTTCTTTAACAAAGCTTTTCCTTATCTTTTAATGTGCGTGCAATTAAATCACTTCTTTTCCAATCAAAGTGCATAAAAATCCCCAATCACACATCAAAGGAACACATAAATGTCCCCCTTACTAATACTTTGAGCATCTTCTTCACTACTAACTTCACAGTCAGAGGAGACGACAACTGTTGTGAATTATGTTAAACGCAAAAACACCCACCTGAATTTTACACCTTCGTAAAATTAGAAGGACTACCTAAGAAGCAGTCACGATTGTTTACTTTGACGTCAGATTGACAGACGTGTAAAAAGTGACAGTTCCCTTGTCTGCTAGTTTATTACAGGGCAGGCCATCTGCCACAGCGTAACAACAGATAAGTGGGTTTAGATGACTACCTAGTGCTAAAAGACTTGCATACTGATGACTCGCCTTTAAAGCCCGAAGCTTACCCGTGTTTTCTTTTGAGCACTTCGTCAAAATCGAGATCACCGTCTTTCCATGTATAATCATAGGCTTCTCCGAAAACGTCAGAATCGGGCTTAAAAAGGAGAACGGGAACAAGTGGTGGGTAAAAATGAATGAAAATTTCGTAATACATTCCCTGTCCCATTTCGTGGTGTTTAAATTTACGCGTACTTTTGATTTGTCACAGTAATAGGGCCTTAGGTTTAAGATCACCAACCAAGTAAACCAGATATACAAATTTTTATTAAGAGTGTTTGGATTAGAACGTGAAAGCAGTGTATAAGGCACTATTTTAACACGCTTGTCACATTTACTAGTCACGAGTGCATTTTACTCCAACGGTCGAATCCCAGCAAGCATTACATCTCATCTGGTCCACTTTTGACTTTATTTTATGCAAACAACATTCTCACATTGATTTAACTTCAAGTTAAGAAAATAAAATGAGAAACGTTAGTGGCAGCTTTGATGTTTTTTGTCATTGACAAAAGCAGAACAAGTTCTCATTGCTGCAATCAAACTTATCCAGGTATTCTATTAGGACTTAATGGAGCTTGCAAGAGCCAACACCAGTGTGGCTATGCAAAATTAGCAAACTTACTTTAACTAGCCTGTAAAAGGGGAATTTAGTATAAGAATTGTGCATTTTGCGACTGGATTCTGCAGACTTTTCACAATCAACGGCATTGATTGCAGAAAGATTGACCAAAGAGGAAAAATCGCGTAACCAGTATAAAGCCAACCAACTAACATTGTAACCACAAACAGCCACGCAAATATTATTATATAACATAAATAAATGTTGACATGGAGAATTGAAAGTGCAAAAGATTTTTTCCTAGGATTTAAAAATTATTCAGGTCGCTCGCTTAAGCGCTAACATAAAACACTGATGATGAAGGTTTGTGAGCAGACCTTGAGGTTGGAGAAATGTAAATGTCCCCACTAGCAAGTAATACCAAACAGAACTTTCGAGGGGAAGGATACTTGAAGATTTCACAATAAAAAAGCCCCTTAATGAATGTAACTGCGTAATAGGCTATAAACTACACTTCAATAGCCAGCAGATGCTGGGGCAGCTGGGCCAACGAGGTATCTTTTCTCAGGGATAGGGCAGGCCGCATCACCAATGACAACGCTTCGTTGTTTTGGCATTCTTTTGTGGGAAAATGAGATCCGACATAAAAAAGGCAATTGCTGGTAAATTAACCAAATACGCCTGAGTGATTTTCAACTGACCTATTATTTTACATCACCATAATGTGGAAACACACTTTATACTTTTCATTCGACTGATGGATGACTACTTTGATGCATAGCACAAGACGTCTAAAAGGATTAAAATGGCTGAAAAATCATCTGTGCAAATTGCGGTGGAAAATAAATTAACGTGGTGTGCGGATGTTAGGGACACCGGGCTAAGCCCTCATTGTTGAGGCGCGCGTCGAATCCCATAAAGCGGCTACTTGAGCGCAACGTGACAGACGAAGCACGCATGCATTTCTGCATTTACTGTGACTAAATGTAAAATTGATAATTTGAAAGGATGAGTTATATTGCAATAAAAGGCCACTCCCACAAGGGACACAATGGAAGCATGCTTGAGTACTTACTACCCAAACCGGTTGAATTTTGTTAAAAATAAATGAGCATATCAACGAACAGATTAGCGAGGTATGCTTGGATGACGGAGCCCATGCCACTTGAACTAGAGGCCAGATGGGTAGCTTGTGAGTTGTGGTTACTTGGTCACAAATGGCAAGGGATTTGTTTACCAAAATAAGACGAGAAAAACAATTTTACCGCCCGTATACTCAAAAATAACGAAGTTATGACAATCACAAGTTGAAACGTGGCAAATGTTTTCCCCAGCAGACGTACCGTATCTTCAGTGAGATTGTTTACTAGTAGAAATTGGCATCGTTGGCAAGTGAGCAGGGATTGGCTGTGCATAAGAATGGTGTATATCAGTCGACGGACATCAGATTGGTCGGAAAAGATTAAACGAGCTAGCTCCAATAGTACCTGGGAGACAAAAAATTGATTAAAACTTCGGAACGACAATCTCAAACGAACTACCTTTTTGGTGAAAGACCTGCCAATTTGTTCACATACTAATTCCATCTAACAGCACAGTAATTTGAAATGTATTCGCAAATAATGACGCACAGGTAAAGAAAGCTAATTACAAATGAAGGTTTGGCTACAGAATTGAACGTCATCTAGCTGATCGTGTTGCGTTATATAAACTGGACCTAAAACTTAGAAAATGCGAGTTGCAAAACGCGTAACTCCAATGATTTAGCTCTTTGAATTCCAACAGTTCTTTGGAGGTTCAAAGTTGGAATTTCTACAGTTATAATTTTACAAATGGTAGGTTGAAGTTTTAATTCAAGTACTGAGTTTAGAGCTAGTGTATTTTAGGGAGAAATCGGATTTATTTTCAGTGCCCATTTTAACGACAGAACTAAATAAACTAGACTGTGAATTTAGCTCAGGTACCAAGCCCGTTGGACGGACAGTGATTGCGAAGAATTGTGACGCAAGCTGTTGGAAAATGTTCTATTATATTCGATTTAGTCACGCATGAAGTATCAAGTTTCAAATGTACAAACCAATAGTGAAAAAGATATTCTAAAGACTCAGTGCGTTGCTTATTTGTAATTGAAAATATGACAGCAATCCATTTGAGGTGCAGAAAAAAAACAAATTAAATCAAACAACAGATTCAAGTTTCGGACACTCAAAATCCGACTTCACGGAGAAGGATTTAAAAGTCGACGCAAAGCAGAAATACTCTAAAGCTTATAATCCCATGTTGGCACTTACTAAAAAAGTACCAATCTCCCTTTTATGCGTTGGCAAATACTGAGAGATTTTAATGCCTGAGGTCAACTTGAAACAAATGCCAATCCAATTCAGATTCGTGAATAATAGTAGTTTTTGTCGAAAATTTACTCTTCGTCAATTCCTACTTCTGTTTACCAACACTTTAGTGGTTTTTGAATTTCTTTTTTCAAGGAAACTGGACGGTTACTCTTTAAATAAAATTCTACCGTAGTTTTTGAACTATTTTGTAGAATCAAAGCAGTTTTCTACGAACATTATTTTGCAGAGAAAAAAAGGATGAAAATCTGAAGAGGCAGGATTAGGGGAATACGTCGGCTGCTGTATAATTTCCCATTTCAGCTTCCTAAGTTCTTGCAGTGCCTGTTAAGCAACATGGAGTCTAGCGTTGTCATGCTAAAATATGATGAGCTTGTGGGAAACGCGAGCTGGTTCATAACTTGACTAAGTTAGGTTGCCGTGAAAATCAACCATGTGAACTTGTAAATCAGAAAAATGACAAAACCATTCACACACATAATTTTCCCCGAAAAATTACAGGGATTTTTTTTGAGAACTGAACAACAACGGTTTCCACATGACACGTCGCTGTTTCAGGGCAATGGCAGATCCTAAGGAAGATGGTCGAAGAACTACCAGGATGGCAGCCAACTGATGAAGAAAGGCAAAAAACGGTAGTGACGAAATGACGGAATTGTCGACTTCGAGGAAGTTTACAGAATAGGATGGATATCTACTAGAGCAACGACGATCTTTAAATGGAAGAGGGTTCTGAGACCAATAAGGTGCCGCAGCCCTAGTGTGGTTTTGGGAATCACACTAAGGCCGACTATCTGCGTCGACATGGTCTGTCCAAATTAATAGATCGAATCAGATGGCACACAGCCCGACCTATTTATTGATGCATTAGTGGTGTGCGTGTGTACATAATAACAAATGCATCGGTCCTTGAACGAACATAGTTACGTGGAGTGTATTCACGTAAATCGACTGAATCGTGTTCGCTCGCGATTGCTGACTGTGCTCGCTTGCTGCTTGCCACAAAGGAAATTGCACTTGGACAGTCTTAAAAAGAAATGCATTTCTAATGCACGAAGTCCATCAGGGCGTCATGTAACAATACAAGACGATCAACAACATTGAGGTAAAAATGAACTAAAGCAAAATTTTCAAACAGTTTATCCTACACGGAAAGGACAAGAATGTAGGTTGGTCTAAGGATTGTGAAGGAGTAGAACAGAAATGGGTTAACGGAGACACATACAATCAATGCATTTTATTGTAATCAACTAATATATTGGTAGGCGGTCAGATATAATTTTAAAAAATAACTGAAATAGCTAGGCATAGATGAACGTAAATTCTGAAGAAGTGGCGAATGTGGCAAAGCTCAAAACCCATGCATGAACGGCTTTTCCTGTTTACGAATAATTTGCTCATCAACCACCACATTCACACTTACCATTCGAAATGCTGTTTACAAGTGTGGGTTTAAACTATTTTTAATACACCCATTTAAAGCTTCTTGGGGAAATTTTTTGCAAGCATAAGACACCCTGAAAAAGACAGGGCGAATAGGGTGCGAGCTCTTGAGGCGTGACGCCTGTAACAATAAGGTAGATTTAAGCAAACTGGGAATCCAAACCGCTGTGCGTTCGCTTCCCGACCGTGGCAGAGGGCGGATGAGCGTGGCGCGAATGACGGTGAGCGGACGCATCTTCAGTCTATCGAGTTTAAGTGCAAATTTAGGGCCATCCAACCGACCTTAGACACAGCCTCAACTGGTGGATAACGTCGTTGTCCGTGGTAAAAAATCGCTAATTTTGAAGCACGCACCGCAGCAGGCAGAATTGACCTTTAAGTATAGGCTAGTCAATTCACAAGTGCATAAGAAATGCTTGCTTTGGAAGCAACAACTGGAACATCTAGAATCTTGAAATTCTAGAGTTGTGTCAGCGGAGTGATGATGGTTCGGCTGTTCATTTACATGAAAAAATGCTAAAATTTTAAATGAGAAAAAAAAGCAAAAGATCACATGTAACATTTAGCCACAAAAAGTAACTTTACAGTTAAGCACTGCGCTTAGGGTAAAATGCAGCTTTATTTATTATGCCCTCACATTTGCCACACAAAAGCTAAGGCTGCATCGAAAATTTTTATTGGTGTACTACGACATGACTCAAAATCCATCGAATTTATTGAACATAAAACTAACATTATTGTTAACCCTGGTCGAGAAAAGGTTTGGTTTAGACAACAACAACAACAACACAAAGTGTTTTGGTGATTGAACACTCGTAAAATTTCAAAATTATTGAGCCAATAATAGTCGACGTTTTACGTAAATCGGGAGCAACGCAATACCAGAGATCCACAAAAGGTCGATTCTTATGACGGGACAACAGTCACGTGCACAATTTAAAAATTGCGACATATCCACTCATATTTCTTACATTTACACACACAAAATTTTATGAAATTTTTTGTTGAAAAGCTGGTGAATAAATGGCATCAACAAACGTCCTGAACCTTTATATATTGCTTCGTCCTCTAAATGCATATAAGAAGTGTCTATTGGGGATGTCAACATCCACCACGACAACTGTCTTCGTACAGTCTTCGCTCAGTTTAAACTACTGAGGTACTCCATATTTTACTACACACCGACATCTCGTTTAGGAGTTAATTCATCAGGTCAAGGTCACACAAGACACCTTTTTGTTATGGCCCCTGTCTGCGACCGTCGAAGCTCTCCGGACGAGATCCTGTCTTTGTCCTGTACTGGGAAAGTGAACGAGGATTTGCATTTGGTTTACAGGGGATTTGGTTTTGGTTGCGGACAAAACGTTACACTTTCCTGCTCACAATTTCAACCTCAAAGTGGTGTTAACTAGTTAAGCATTAGAAGGGATTTGATGGAAGCCGATCCTTGTCAAACATCGTCGTCCTATGCAGAAGACCTCTCGGTGTCTTATAAAATCATTACCAGCCAACTTACACGCACGTCAATGGTCATAAATGTTTACCAAATACTTTCTAAATTTATCAAATAATTATCAGAGGTGACTCTGATTTAGTATTCGCAGATCAGCATCTTTGCGAGGCAAAATAACACTCTTTTAGGTATGAGTTGTTTCTAATAACTCATCACTATTAGATTAGTGAGGCTGCTGCAAAAAGCGTCCAGAACACTCACACCGTTCCTAAAGGCATTTCTAAGAGTTTAAAAAATTACAGCGACTTAACCATTCTGCAATTTATACTACCAGAATTACGTATAAACTTCTTGAATCTAACTAAATGCGAATGATGAAAATCCTTACCAAGGTATCGGAAACCCCAAATTTAAAATACTGCCATTAAACGCAGTGAACCAAATTTGTTATTAATATAATGCTTCGAAAATAGGTCGCCCACAAAACGAGTACCGACGTTATTGTGATGTTGCATGATTAAAGCCACAAGGGTCATTTTCGATGCCTTTGAAGGCGACTGAGATTCTGTAGTTTAGTGTAGTTAGATGCAGTACA